TTTCAACATTTACTTGACCTATTTGAGTACATCTTAGCCAATCTATCGGAAGGTAAATGCCATCTATAAAACATTTTATATAGATTCTCTTTATAAGATGTTGCCATTGTCATCTTATAATTTCTAGACCGAGAGGCTTGCTTTTGAACATAGAAAATCAACCTACACTGAGTCAGGCCACTGGGTCACTCAGCCCACCTGCGTTCTCTCTGAGTGACTGGCAGCAATTCCCAATGGTTACAGGAAGGATTCCCTCCTACCCCTGCCTGGAGACTCCATGGATTGAATCTGAAAACGCCTGCAAGTCAAGAGATGTGCTTTATTTCTAAGCTACAAACTAAGACAAAAGGTCATCAAGGCTAGGCTGGACCTCATCTTCATATTACCTAGCACAGTCATCTAGACTCTAGATGACTGTGCTAGGTAAAATGAAGATGAGGTCCAGATTCTAGAGCAGTGGCTCCCAACCTTGAGATTTTGGACTGCAATTCCCAGAAACTCCAGGCAACACAGGTGGTGGTGAAGACCTCTGGGAATTGCAGTTCAAGGACATCACTGATCTAGAGAGAAACAGTCAGCATAATACAAAGGGGACATATATGCACTATCACAGCTCCGCCTCAGAAGACTAGCCAAAATGGGTTAGCTACCTAAGTCTAATGGGCATTAAAATCAACTTTAGGCAATCAAGTTTTCAAAATCATTTTCTGTATCTATATAGTCAACCATAAAAAAACTAGGTTGTCCATCAAAGGACTGCTTATGGGGGAAGTAAATCACAGCTGTCAAATCTCTCTCTGTCTTGCTCTCCTTCCCTGCTTGTCTTCAGGGAACATGAATTAAAATAAGGCTTGCTGCAGTATTTATTGTGTTCAGATTATGCAAATTCCTGCAGATTTCTCAACGGTCAGGGAAGCTGCAGCCATCCATATCTTTTGTTTAATAAGTGCCTGAAGCAGATTTTAAAAATACTATTTGATTTTATTTCTTTTAATCAAAGGTTGAGAAGAGATGACTTAAAATGTTGATTCCCATTGATTTTTCTTTTAAAAGACCACACCAGATTTAAAAAAAAAACAACCACTCAGAATCTTCTCAATTTTTATAAAATCTATGGGAACATAAACTGACAAGACCCATCCTTTTGCATCTGAAACAGTAAAAGGAAGACCGCTGGGAATCTTTAGGAAAACTAAAGGGGTCTCTACTTAAGAACGTCCCTACTTAAGAAAAATTCCACTTAAGAACAGCTCCATTTGCTAAATTTTGCTTCTACTTGAGAACAAAAATCCAAGATAAGAACAGGAAAAAAAAAACTTTCCTGCTCTTTTTTTAACCTTAGGTCATCTTAGGTTAAAAAAAGTTCTCCCCCTAGTGGTAGAGTACGTATTAACCAGCTTTGCATTAGTTCCTATGGGCACTAATGCTTCAATGTACGAACGCACCTCTATATAACAAAAAAACAGCCAGAACAGATTAATTGGTTTTCAGTCCATTGCTTCAAAATTAGCTTCGTCAGAAGTGCTTATAACACTGTTCCCTAAACTAAGGGGGGAAAAATATCCCCCTCTAGTGGTAGAAGGCGGAATAGCAGCTTCCCATTAGTTTCTATGGACAGAAAAGAGCAGATACAGATTAAATGGTTTTCAATGCATTCCTATGGGAAATGCAGAACTTTTCCACTTGAGAACCACCTTCCAATACGGATTAAGTTCTTAAGTAGGGACCCCACTGTACACCAAAGTGTTTTTGAAAACCAAAGTGGTCAAATTGTCAGGGTTGCTCTGCTTTAGTAGGGTTACTATGCTTTAACAAGCAAGCATGGCAGGAGAAAATTCAGATCGCAAAGACTTGATTCTGCATGTTTAGAAAAGTTGACCTGGATTTTTTCATGGCATGTCGCTGCTAAAAGCATCAGAGCGCTGCTCAAAAATAAACTGGCAACCTTTACTAGCATTGTTGTTTAGTCATTTAGTCGTGCCCGACTCTTCGTGACCCCATGGACCAAAGCACGCCAGGCCCTCCTGTCCTCCACTGCCTCCCAGAGTTGGGTCAAATTCATGTTGGTCGCTTCGCAGACACTGTCCAGCCATCTCGTCCTCTGCCATCCGCTTCTCCTCTTGCCTTCACACTTTCCCAACATCAGGGTCTTTTCCAGGGAATCTTCTCTTCTCATGAGATGGCCAAAGTATTGCAGCCTCAGCTTCAGGATCTGTCCTTCCAGTGAGCACTCAGGTTTGATTTCCTTCAGAATGGATAGGTTTGTTCTCCTTGCAGTCCAGGGGACTCTCGAGAATCTCCTCCAGCACCACAATTCAAAAGCATCAATACTTAGGTTGTCAGCCTTCTTGATGGTGCAGCTCTCACTTCCATACATTACTACAGGAAAAACAACAACTTTGATTATTTGGACTTTTGTCGGCAAGGTGATGTCTCTGCTTTTTAAGATGCTGTCAAGGTTTGCCATTGCTTTCCTCCCAAGAAGCAGGCATCTTTTAATTTCGTGGCTGCTGTCACCATCTGCAGTGATCATGGAGCCTAAGTAGGTAAAATCTGTCACTGCCTCCATATCTTCCCCTTCTATTTGCCAGGAGGTGATGGGACCAGTGGCCATGATCTTAGTTTTTTTTTAATGTTGAGCTAAAAAGTACAAACGGGGCCTGGAAATCCTGAAGGATATTTGAAAGTCACATCAGGGCCTTTTCTGGTTATTTTAACAGAAGCAATAAGGAACAAAAGGAAGAACACAGTGGCTGGATCAGACAAAAGGCCTTCCTAGTTCAGCACTCTGTTCTCAGAGCAGCCAACAAGACGCTTGTGAACATCCCATAAGCAGGAGTCCCGCTAGAGTTGGTAGGTCTGACTTTGGTCCTCAGGTTCCTGTTTTCACATTCTATTGTCCAGGTCTCAGAAATCAAACTTGAATCATCAGAGAATGGGATGCTGTCAAACTCATAATTTCACATGTTTGGGGTTAATCTTCCTGGCTTCAGAACACGGCATTCACCTATGCTCAGAAATACCTTTTTCTTTTTCATCACTATGAAAGCGCTAGAACTGCTGCTGGAAATCACAGATCAGTGTATAAAGTTATCCCTGAGGGTGCAACTAAATGGGAATTTGGAGCAATTTGGATCATACTTAAAAGGATCTTATCTTCAGTGCAATCTATTTTATCTCGCATTTGAGTGACACTTCCATTCACACGGGTGAAGTTTCTTCTCCAGTGAGAAGGATCCCGACAGCACTTCAAATAGCTCAATTTCTCCGCCTTTCAATTACTGACATTTCCTCTCTTGCCTCTTTCCCTGTCTTTAGTCACGGCTTTCATTCTACAGGCCACAGCACCTTGCCTTTGTTTTTAATTTAGTAAGTAGCATAGTGCTACAGCAATATATCAACCAAGGATGGATATTCATTTATATCTGAAACAGCCCTAGATCACTTAGGAGAATATTTTAAAAAATATGAGAGAAGGAAAATAGAGATGAGGCCATTTCTTCTATGGTCACAACACATCGCACAGGGCTGTTACTCTACGTAGCGCCACCCACAGCTCTATATAGGAACAAATTAAACAACCAGACAGAATGCCTAACGAGATGCATTGGGAGTGCTCCCGATCACACCAAATGAACTGTAACTAGCACTGTGCCAGAAAGGAGTGGAACAATTTGCAAAAGGGGCAGGATGGGTTTCTCTTGCTTTGAATCTACATTGTTACCAGAAAATAGGGTGAGGCACACGCTACCCAAAGCAGATAGCAAGCGATATACAGTGGTGCCTCGCTTAGCGATTGCTTCATTTAACGAAGAATTCACTTAACAATGTGTTTCTTAGAGGAATTTTCTGCATCGTTTAACGATGTAGTCTGTGGGGGATTTTCACTTAACAATGTCCGTTTTCGCTCATTTTTAAGTGTCTTAAAATGTTTGAAACCTGTTTTAAATGCTTGGAATCGGTAGTGCACCTTGTGAAACCCCAGCAAACTTAATTTGGCTTTGTTCTGAGTCTTCGTTAATTTTTAGTGATTTTTTGTTTTCCCCATTTAAATCCATTGAACTATCCATTCAAACAGGTTTCAAACATTTTAAGACACTTAAAAATGAGCGAAAACGGACATCGAAAAATCCATTGAAAAGCATTGAAGCCGACTCAATGCTTTTCAATGGCTTTCCGATGGGGGAAACATTGTTTCACTTAGCGATGTTTCCTATGGGGATTTTTGCTTAAGGACGGTAATCCGTCCCATTGGAACGGATTAACCAGTTTTCAATGCATTCCTATGGGAAATGGAGTTTCGCTTAACGATGTTTTCCCATAGCTATGTTTTTTTGGAACCAATTAACATCGTTAAGCGAGGCACCACTGTATGCTCATCTGATCACTCCGCCCGGTCTGCCACATCTTGTTCCTAAAGGGTCTCCGAGTCTGAGATGCTGCTGACTTGACAACCCGAAGCACAAAAGGAGCACAACAGCACTCCAGGCAAAACCTACGGAGTGGTTCTGAGCCGGATATAATACAATCAAAAGCCTTACCTGACAGAATAGCAAACTGACGGTGAAGCTGTTCTATGATATCCACGGCAACAAGGGGCCTAATCTCCTGTTGCATGATTTCATCTGTACAAGAAGGGAGAGAAGAAAGGGGTGGGGGGAGATAATTAGAGAAATCCACTATCAGTTGACTGAGGAACTCTCCTGCGGATTTCCCACTGAAGACAGCCACATAAAGAAGATACTCAGACGCTGGGAGTCCTTCCAGCTTGACCAGTAGGCCTTACAGTGTCATATGATTGTTTTATACGGCAAACAGTGATGCTCACAAAGTGTTGTTTACAAGATTGCTTTGTGCATTGTCTTTGTGTTCCACAGAAATGGGTTTTTCATAAACATAGCCGAACTGGTTAACGGATGACCGTAGCCATGCTAAAGACAAGGAATTTCTAACTCCCAACATTACGGTCTATATTTACTCCATGTTTGTGTACAACAGTAACAAAGCGCTTTTTGAAAACAGTACTCAACCCAATCTCGGCAACAATCCATCGACTGTCTCCTGTTATTTTTACATATTTTTAAACGAAATATAAAATCTGAATTATACTACAGCTGTCAACACATCAATGCTACATTGATATCACGAGCCTCATAAACACATCATTTTCCACAGATTTTAGAAGACACATTATCACGGCCAGGGCTGCCCTCGGAATAAATAGAGTGCTGAGTCAAGAATGTCTCTCGTGCTCCTGTCCCACTGCCGTCAGCTTTGAAGAGCCATCCAGAGTGTTTATGGCCCTTGACCGTTTTAACCACTGCGCCACGAGGCCCTTGACAATAACAGGAGGTATGTTCAGAGGCCCTCCTGTTACCTCTGATGTCCCTACAAAAACCCACACGTGTGTAGAGAAACCTGTGTTCCAAAGATTTTTACTAGGTGCAAAAGACATCAAATGAGGGGGGAAGAATACTTTACACCTAACTGCAGATCCTCAGGTTTTTTTCCGAAGACTTTCTCTAGGAATAGTATCAAAAGCAGACTTGAGATCAATAAAAGCCACATACTGTATAGGCTTGGTGTTGATTCGCCGTGTACTTCTATATCAGATGTGACAGATGAAAAGTAAGGATCAAGTGCAGATCTAGCTGACTGGAAGCCTATCTATTTATAAACCAGAGTACTGTTGGGGATAACCCAACAGCCAGTGTTTGGCATGGATTTTCCTAATTAAATCTTAATATATATATCAGAACAACAAAGGGTGTCATTGGGTGTCAACTTATTGGAAGTAATACAAACTGGATGGTGGTTGTTCTGTCACATATTCAGTGGAAACATCATCCCCCCCCCAAAAAAAGTGATTAGGGCTGATATCCTATATAACCATATTCTTACCTGGAAGCAAGTCCCATTAAATACAATGAGGAAAAAATGTACAGGAATACAGTGGTGCCCCGCTAGACGATTACTTCGCAAAACGGTTAATTCGCTAGACGATGAGTTTTTGCGATCACTATAGTGCTTTGCAAAACAATGTTTCCTATGAGTGAATTTCACTGGATGATGTTTTGGACCGTGCTTCGCAAGACTTTTTTTTCCTGACCGATTATCGCAAGATGACAATTCTGACAGCTGAGTCAGCAACTCACAAAACGGGTGTTTTTGGGACTGTTTTTCACAAGACAGTGATTTTTACAGCTGATCCACACTTCGTAACACAGTTTCTCTATGGCCGATTTTCGCAAAACGACGATTTTTCCCCATTGGAATGAATTAAACAGATTTCAGTGCATTCCAGTGGGGAACCGCATTTTGCAAGACGATGTTTTCGCTAAACAGTGATTTTTGCTGAACGAATTAACTGTCTTGCGGGGCACCACTGTATGCATGTGAAATGTAGAAGGAAAATACATATTTCCTTCCTCAAGTTTAGATTACATGTACTTAGTCCTCTGTGAAATATGCCTGTTTGTTTGTTTGTTTGATTGATTGATTTCTATCCCACCCATTTAGACCAAAGGTCTACTCTGGGTGGTTGACAACTTTAAAAATAATAAAAGCCACATACTGTATAGGCTTGGTGTTGATTCGCCGTGTACTTCTATATCAGATGTGACAGATGAAAAGTAAGGATCAAGTGCAGATCTAGCTGACTGGAAGCCTATCTATTTATAAACCAGAGTACTGTTGGGGATAACCCAACAGCCAGTGTTTGGTATGGATTTTCCTAATTACATCTTAATATATATATCAGAACAACAAAGGGTGTCATTGGGTGTCAACTTATTGGAAGTAATACAAACTGGATGGTGGTTGTTCTGTCACATACAGTATTCAGTGGAAACATTGTCCACCCCCCCCCAAAAAAAAGTGATTAGGGCTGATATCCTATATAACCATATTCTTACCTGGAAGCAAGTCCCATTAAATACAATGGGACTTGCTTCTGAGGAAAAATGTACAGAAATACAGTGGTGCCCCGCTAGACGATTACCTCACAAAATGGTGTTTAGCCCATTGGAATGCATTGAGCAGTTTTCAATGCGTTTCAATGGGCTTTTTTATTTTGCTTGACAAGGATTTCGCTCTACAGCGATTTCGCTGGAATGGATTATCCTCGTCAAGTGAGGCACCACTGTATGCTGGAATACATTTCCTACCATCTCCATACAATGGTCCCATGACCACAAGTCTGGGGATGATGGGAATATATATTCCAACACAATAGTTGGCATCAGTTTGGGGAACCCTGCTATGAACAAATTGATAGGTGTATATAGTGCAGACTATAATATAGTCAATGGAACTGAAAATAAGTGCAGTAGGAACAAACTGTTTCCATGGTAACCAGTCACACCGCTTTTATTTTTGTTATATAAATACTCAAAGCCACCAATCACCTTGGTAAGAAAAAATATTATTCTTTGAAATGACCTAATTGCTTTAGGCATTACAGGTACATAAAGTAAGCCTAAGAAATGCTCTTCAGTTACAGACTCCTGTCACCACTGATTCATTCATTAATGTATCTAGAAATAAGTACATATTAATCTTTGCAAAAATTTAAAAAGGCACCACTACATGCTAAGTTGAATGCCCTTGTCTAAGTGGGTCATGGATTTCCCATAATAAACTAAAATGGAGACTTTTAAAGTGCTTCTTTTGAAGAAAAACAAATGTTATTCATTTATTTATTAGATTTATATACCGCCCATCTAGAACATGTCTACTTTGGGCAGTTTACATATAGCATAAAAATAAACGAAGTTAAAATCCAAATTAATCACAAAGTCCAAGATGGGGAAAGGAAAAAAGAAGAAAAAGAAAAAAAGAGAGAGAAAAAAGAAAAGGGGAGAGAGGCTAGGAGGTAATGGCTGTAGGGATAAAAGCAATACATCAAAATAAAATCAGCGAAGCACCATTTTCCAAAAATGTCCACTGAAAAGGCCATTGCCCTCTTTATGTGTTCATTAGATAGTATTTTAAAACAACTCTTCATTTTAACAGATATCAGGGTGTTATAAAAGAAGAGGCACAGAAAGAGTGAACACTGAGCTACAAATACATCTGGGAGTGCGTGTGTGAAAAGTTGTGGTGGTGTCAGAAAATAAAAGCTGTTGTCCTTTGGGAAGGAAAAAAAAGGCCTTACAGAGGAAACGAATGGGGCAGTCCAAAAGAAGACTAAAAATAGGGAGAATAAGGAAAGTGTTTTGTGTGGCTGACCGCTGTTCCAGTTGGCCAGCTTTGCACAGATTCTCACACCGAAACACCCACTGGTTCATGGTGAGGGTTCGATGTTAGGCGCTTCAGTCACACTCAATGAGACGGTTCAACTTCAACAACATTGTCTTCATTTATTAATGTTCCAACATTAACTGTAACCTCTTTTTGAATAGGATTTAACGTCTCTTGCCGTCTAAACCTCGACTGCAAGGGTGTCCAAACATTACTAACAAACGGGTTCAATTCGTCAAACTCCCACGGTCCAGATAAAACTTTCTCTGTAACCGGTTGTTCACCTTCTTCCCTCTCATCAGTTAGTAGCGGTAGGGCCTCTTCATCTCCGCTCCAACCCCAGAATGGGGAACCCTCTCTCGGACTGGCCAGCCACGGTCCAGGAAGACTCCCATCTTCTGGAGCTCCGAGAGATGCCATGTTTTCTTGGCCTCAATCTCTCTTGCCAGGGCCTCTCGCTCTTCCCTTAGACGGTGCCTCCACTCCTTTGCCTCCGTCTCACCCCAGTAAGACAGACGTGGCTGTTGTCCTTGGCGTCTCTGCCTTTCAGCCTCCTTGGGTCTCCCCCCCTTGATGTCTCTGACCCTCTCTTTCTCTTAGCTCCTCCAACTCTTTAGTGTCCACCTTCTTGCTTTCCTTTCTAGGTGGAGAAGGTGGAGGGGAGGTCTGAATCTCCTTAGATTGGGTTGGGAGCAACGACACTCCTACATATGCTTCCTGACCCTGGCCTGGGGTTTCACAGTTCACCCGTTGCCTCCCTGCTATGTCTACACCAAAGCATACTTCAATGAGAAGAGTTGACAGTAAGAAGATAAAAACCCATGCGTGCGCACACACACACACACAGACACAGAGGGGAGACAATGCTTTTGTTGTTGGTGGTGACCACTCCAACATATTCCAGTCAACTATTGGTCATACTGACTGGAGGACACCAACAGCAGTCATCCCCCAAAATTGACATTTTTCATAAAGAAAGGAGTGATACAGAGAAAGATCAAGTAAGGGTATGATGAAGGAAAGGGAGGAGAGGGAGAGCAATTGAGAGGGAGAGAGAAGCAGCAAAAAGAGAGAACGTGCTCATCTAATTTTTTGCTCCGGATTCACTCCCAGGCATTCAGGCTCTGGTTGATTAACCCTAAAACAATACTGGAGGGCAGTGGGGGGGTGTATGTGTGAAGAAATTGCCAGAGAGCATTAGATGGTGAAGCCTTTATTTTATTTTATTTTTTAAAATAATATCAGCTGCTAAAGCAAAGCTCTGGAACATATGTTGCTATCATAATTTGAGTTTTCTCAAGCAAAATTCTTTGTGCTTATTTTTAATGCAAAATAATTTTTCATTATTCACTCGTCAAAACCTTGCTGCTAAGCTTCGTAAATT